TGAAGCAGTTAAGTTCTTTGGCCCTATCAAGTAATTTGTTCAAAGCTGCATAACAATAATGAAAAGGAGAGGAGATAATGGTCACCTTGCTTAAACCTCTCGAAGCGGTGAAAAAGTTAGAAAGGCCTCCATTCACAATGATTGCAAAGCTAGTAGTGGTGACACATGTTCTAATCCAACATCTCCATTTTGTATCGAAACCACATCTTTCCAACATATAATCAATAGTCCCAACTTACATAATCAAAGGCTTTCTCAATATCAAGTTTGCACAAAGCACCTTATTTGTTGTTCCTAATGACATCATCCACCATTTCATTTGGAATAAGAATAGCATCTGAAATTTGTCTACCATAAACAAAAGCATTCTATGAGTCACCAATTATCTTGTGAAAATTTATAAATAATCTTTTAGCCAAAACCTTTAAGAGTAATTTGTAAATGCACCCAATGAAACTAATAGGCTGAAAGTCTCTAATGTTCTCCGGATTAGTCTTTTTAGGAATTGTAACAAGAAAAGTAGAATTGAGTGATCTTACAAAGGAAACACAATTATGAAAATCATTAAAGAAATCCATGATGTCTTGCTTAATGGTATCCTAAAAAGATTGAATGAATTTGAGATTAAAACCATCTGAGCCTGGGGCTTTATCACCATCACAATCCCGAAGGCAGTCATAAATTTCTATCTCAGTAATTTTCATTTCCAGTAGATTTCGGTCGCCATTATTAATATTATTAAAATGAAGATCGTCAAACTCCGATAAATTGTATTAATTTATAAAGTCCAATAAATGAGGTGAGTCAAACACTTTCTCATATGTTCATTCCCTTTCCAACTCTCCTCAAAAGAATCATCTCATCACTTTGTTTATTAAAGAATTATTTCATCCCTTTTTTAAACCATATATTCTCAAAAAGAGAAGGGGTGGGATCCAATCATAAGCGACTGGACTCTAGAAAGATAGGAGTGACCCACATTGGTTGAGCCAAAACATCATGCATCAACCCAAGAAAGCCCCCTTCTCCAACATTCAAAGATGAAAATTGATCAATGAAGGCATAGCATAAGCGTACATGAGAATATTGCATTTCTCTCAATCCCTAGCATATTTGTTAAAATGCATCATGCTAGCAAAAAGCCTAGTAGCCTCCCTCCCCCCAAAAAAAAAAAATATCGCAACTAAATTCCTACCAACCTTGGAATTGCCAGCACAACACCAAAAAGACCTCAATCTCAGTGACAACAGGCTACACATGTATAATTTTTTTTTCTATGAATTTAATCATGGTTCCATGGAATCAAAATTGCAAACCAACTCCAACTTCATGCAACTTAATACAATCATTACAATCAAACCATACAACAATAGTTAACAAAATAATTTATAATCAGCTCTAAAGAATAATAATTGGAACTACCAGCAACTCATAGTGACAGGTTAGAGGTCTCATTGACATGTATCATATTTAGTTTCAGCCATGTCAAAGATAAACCTCCCATTCACTAAACTCATTACAGAGCCAATGGATATTTTACCAAGTAGAACCTACCTTGACTTAAGCATACACAAGGCAGCAAACTGATTGTAAATGTAGAAAGCAATATCTGAGAGCATCTAATGACATCTAAGTATAGTTTTATCTATCAGTGCCATGTATCCCAAGAGCAACATTTGAAAGCATCGAGGGCATTTAAAATATAGTCTTACGTACCAGTATCAAGAATTGCAAGCAAAAAGTAGGCAACATCAGCTTTTTAATACTGAATTTGATAGCAATCTCCACTTTTAACAGCTTTAACTCATGGCGATATCATTGGAGCACCAAAAATCCTTTGAACATTAATGACCATCGCATGGACATCATTAAAATTGAAATGGAGCTTGCTACAACTTTAGCGTAAGAAAACTGATAGTGATTACTAATTCTAGGAGGCAGCATCAAATCCTTAAAGTAAAGAAGACGAGTGAAGATTTCAGTAAAGCAAATTAGACTCAAGACAGAACTGGATTATCAACATTAACCATGTGCTAAGAGAACTCGTGGCTGAACATTATGCTAGTTCTGCACAATATATAATTTTCATACCATTACCATGTTGGCTCTCCATTGACAAATGATACTAGAAAGATAATAACTAGGCAGGTTCTGTATTTTCTTTTTTTTTTTCCTAACAAAAAAATAACATCCACAACGACAGTGTCTATACTCAAGATTTCTGTCATAACATTTTCTATTGAACAAGTCGTCTTATGGAGTGCCATTTAAGCCTCAATAATGAAAATGTAAGCATCCATAACCAATTTCTATTGCCAATCTTATCCACACTAGCTTCCAGGAAACAAATTTGGAAGACGAGGGTGGCCCTTAGAATTGCTTTTTTTTAGTTGACAGACAGCATCTGAAACGATTTTAACAGCTAAAACTCTCATGAATGGATAAACAGAGTTTTTTTACCACAAGGAGACTGAATCCCAAAGCCATCTTTTTCTCCAGTGTCCTAACGCTAGAAGGCTTTGCGATTATTCCCTTCAGCTCTTGAACCAGCTGGGTTGTCATTGGCTTGATTAAGGATGAATTATTGGGTTCTTACGGTGTTTCAGTCCAAGTTGAGGAAATTTTTCTGCCTTAACCCTGATGCCATTTTCTGGGTCATCTGGAAAGAGAACAAAAAAAAAGAGCTTTTGAAGATGATTCGTCCTTTTTTGCTGGTGTCCAGGATCATCAGCTAAGATTACTTCATACTTTCCCCATGGACCACCCTCTTGATGATTGGCCTGATTATATTGACCTATTCAACCTATTCTCTTTGAAAGTTGTAAACAATTTTTTACAAGGGCAGCAAGCCTTTGTGCCTTTTTAAACCACTATCTTTTCCTCGAGAAAACATTAACCCATAATCCCTTCAACAGAATTCAAATTCTCCTATTCCATAGTTCAACAAGGATCTGATTACCTGCGGATCATCAAGCACATGCCATAATTACAAACCCATAACCTGGCCACATGCAACAAGATCAACTATCTTTTCTAGCCCACATTTGAAAGAGAAGTCTCCTTGTAGCTATAAACAAAACCACTGAAGACTAAATTAATCAGTCAAATAACACGAAGAGCTCAAGTGCCTGCTTAACCCCAAAACTCAAAACCTAAAATTCTAAGCAATCACTATTAAGAAGCAGAAAATTGACGAAACCAAACAAAGCCAATTGTTGAAAACTAGAATTTTTTGAAACAATTGCATAGCAAAGAGCAGGAAGAGAGGAAGCCCAATGCATAAGGAACTCAAAGAAAGAACTGTATCCTTGAATAATAAGGCAGTAAAACCGAACCTTAGAGCCTGCAAGCTCCTCAAATTGCTTGACCCAGTCCTCCATCATTGCATCATCAGCCGCACCAGGGGGTTGTTTCGACAAGGACTCCAGTCCCTTAACAGCCTCCCTAGTCTGTTCCCTAAGCTTATCAAGGGCCTCTGCAACATGTGTCTCCTTCGCAGCTTTTTGCTTGCCCTTCTTTTTGTTATTCAAGTCAGGTAACCCCATACCGAGACCTTGAACCCCAGTTGGCAACGAACCGGATTCTTCCTTCTTCCCCTGCCCTTGTTTTCCATCTACTTCCCCACTTCTAAAACAACCAAAGTAAACCTGAATAAATATTCATTAACAAAGCTACAATACAAAGAGAAGCAGATAGAGAGAGGACCTCCGAGTGGAAGGAGCAAGATTGAGATTCTGAAAATCATCCAAAGCACCTAAAAATGAATATTAAAGAGTCAATTCTCAATTTAGAACTCCTCAAATATACATGCTAGACAAAATACACATCATTCAGGAGTCGTAATAAGAGTAAGAGAGAACGAAGAGAAAGAGAAAGGCGAATAAGGGGTGGAGGGGAAGGAATTGGGAACTTACTATCAAGGAGCTCGTCCAAATCATCTGGATGGCCGGCCATGGCTGCAAAATTCTCTGTATACACACACAGATTGATTGTAATTCAAGTCTCTGTGTGTGTGTGTGTGTATGTGTAGAGAAGGAGATTTCTATGTAATTGGTCTCATGGAAGTATCTTCTGGGGTGATGTATCCGAAGAGATTTGGGGAAGTGTTGCTGAGATTAAAGACTGCAAATGCTGACGTTCACGGCGGTTTCGGGATCAGCATTTCAACGGTCGAGATTGCTTCCCTACACGTTTCTTTTTTTTTTTTTTGGACTGTTTTGACCAATGAAGTCTTAAAAGAGAAGGAAGTATGAATACTAAAAAGAAGATCACAATGGTAATGTGAAAAGTGTTTGAAATATGTATTTATTTCTGTGTTTTTTTCTTTAAATAAAAAAAAAAATTACTTCATACTTTCTTTTTATCGGGGTCATATTAATTAAAGAAATTTGATAATTATGAAATAGTTATTTACTTTTAATACGTCATGAATCGACTGAACAAAATTCAATTTGATCATTAAAATTCTACTAACACGTTGATAAATTAAATTTTTGATAATGTCGAATCAAATAATATAAGTCAGTCATTACTAACTAATAATTTACTCATAAAGTGACCGAATCACTACTGTAACGGCCCCGGAAATATTAAAATGAAATGAGTATTTAAATATATCAAATGCGGAAGCGAGATCAAAATTTCAGTTAACATCTCTTACACGAAAACCAAAAACGTACTTAAAATATAAAAGGTTAAACTAACTAAAAGAGAAACTCGAAAATAATGCTATGAGTATGACTACAGAGTCTCTAGGCATCCCTTTCGTCGTCCTCCTGCGGAACGGGCTCGGGAACCATGTCTTCCTGATCTGAAATGGTTAAATAAGGAGTGAGGTACACTAGCCCAGTAAGAACATCACGATATCTCACCGTCACGGAGGTAAATGTGGGTAGAAAACACAAAGGACCCATGGAGCATGTTTTACAACAAATCCTTTTATTTATGATAAAACCTTTACCATCCACTTACCTCGGTGGAATTTATGAAAATAATATAAGAAAAACAATAACATTGTCATAATCATGGGATAATATAAGCTGTAAAACATAACACTTATCACGCCTCTTGTAATTCAATCATTATACAACATATCTTTTTCTCATTTACCAGCCTACTAGTATCCGTGGGGGTCCATAGGGGTCCCGCTACCCGTTAACCTTTAACATTCATAATCAGTTTCCAGGGCCGTCTCCATACCCCGTCCGGTATGGGCGCCAAAACCATAAACCTCAATACCCCGTCCGGTATGAGGGTGAAACGGGCCGTCCCCATTCCCCGTCCGGTATGGGCGCCAAAACCATAAGATCTCCATACCCCGTCCGGCATGTGAAACCACAATCCCGGTAGGGTTCCCTACGGACCTGGTCCGTCCACCATCTCCCAGGATACCTAGTCAGGCTGACCCCCATAATACAATTATCAGTCTACACAATCTTTCATTTTCCTTTTCCTCAGTCAGCATCATCAATTCACATTTAAATAAGCAAATCGTAATTCATGCCAAACAGACAACATACAGTATCAGTTTTTCAGTCATTCAACCCATAATTAATAAAAACGTAGTATATGCACACAAATCTGTAAAATGAACACATCAAACCTCATTTTGCATTTAAAGCTGTAAACAGGCCAAATAACAGTAAATCACCAATCACACTAGACTCGGGCTCCATTAGCCACCTTAAGCAATTTCACACATTCGTTAATACAAGAAATACCATTTTATCATTTTGAACTTTAATACCGTGATAGGAAATAGGGTGAGGGGTCCTTACTTGTTTTCGGGATTCGAATACGATTCACAGTGCGCCTACAGGCTGTTCCTAATTTTTTCTGAATTTTTCCCGGGGAACTGAAACGCACTAACGGTACCTGCACGTGTTCCAAAAAATCTCAAACTAGACTCAAGGCCCCTTTTTGGCCAATATCACAACTCGCCTCGGGTTGGCTGTTTTCGGCCGTTTTCGGCCGAATTCGGCCACACTCGCATCGGTCCCTGCGAGAAAACAACCCTAGGGCCCTCGGGGGGCCAAAAAATCACGAAAAAACGGAGCTTACCAGCGGCGGCGCTCTCGGGTGCGGCGGCTCTCCGACGAGGTTCGTGTTTTGGTGATTCGGCTCCGGTCAACCTGTAGAGAAAAGAATGGTGATCACGGTGATATAAAAATTGCATCAAATGGAGGCCGGGAAGGGCCTCGTCGGAGGCAAAAACCGAGAAAGAGCGCGGCGGCGCCGCTGGTCTTTGGCCGCGTATTCCGGCCGTTTGGCCGGGATTTTGGCTCCGATTTGGCCACAGGAGGAATCAGCGTGGAAAAACGAGTCGGGGGTATGAAATTTACCTCGATCGGCGGTCGGAAATTTCCCCGGCGCGC